CTTCCTCGGATTGGGATGCGCTCAGGAGGGTGATGCGCCCAGATGGGATACTCTCAGGGGGGATACGCTCAAGGGGGAGGGGGACAGGATGAGGGCAGTGGATGAGGAACCTCCAGATAAGGAGTCCAGAATCCAGAGTCTGGAAGCTGGTGGAACTCCAATCGCGGACTGGCTGTGGATACCCCCGCCGCTCTTTATCAGGTAATGGATCGTCCAGGGTCTAAAGCCTCTTGGGCACGTTCCTGAATGAACGCCCACGCCGAAGGTTCAAGATTGACGACTTTCTCGCAATCGAGGTTCGAGGCTTTCGGGCATGTTTGTAGGTTCTGCGCGATTTTCCAGCCTCGGGGTGCGTTCCAGCAGCTGCGCCTCGCCGTGAGGCGTCCAGGGATGCCCGGACCGTCCCGAACAGCCTTCAGAGACTAGAGTTATGACGCGAAGCTCAGACCTCGGAAGAAGCGGGAGCAGGAGGATCAGAGAAGGGGGGGATCGGGAGGTGGGAGGGAGGAGGAGAGGGTTGAACGAGAGTGGTCTTCGGCTCATCCGATCCAGCCACCAGTAGTCATGAGTGTATCATATCTCCTTTCAGGCGCTTCCTTCATGAGATGAGCATGAGTGAGCATGCGTTCGAGCGAGGATGTGCAAAAGATTGAGGCTGACTGGGAGTGAGTCTGAGTATGGCGAGCGACTGAGTACGAGTGGGTCTGAGTTTGAGCTGGTTCAACCGAAGTTGGTGTAAGTCCAAGTAGAATTTGGAATGCTCGAGTCTGAGAACGAGTGGGTCTGGGAGTGACGGAGTGTCAGTCTGATCGAGCCCCAATGATTGGGTCTTGACAGAGTGATTTAATATGAGAAGCTGAGAACGAGTGAGCATCCGTTTGCCTCCTCCGGGGTCGCGGGCTCTCTTCGAGTCTTGAGGGCCCCCTTGGGGCTTCCTTGGAGTCACATGGAGCTTCCGAAAGTACCAACAGAGGAGCCGGCGACGCCAAAACAAGCGCCACGGTCGACACATGCCCGCAATCTGTCCGTGGAAAGGCAAGTGCCCTCCTCACGGGCTGCTCCAGTTTGGAGCGCTCGAATGCCACGCCTGCTGCACTGCGGTGATCAGGGTGCTGTCAAAGCAGAGCAGTCGGGGGCGCCAAACGAGCGAACCGCTCGAGACATTCCGACGATCTGGCCTGGCACGGGGACGCGCGCCCCTCACTTTGGCAGCTTTTCCGTGGGGTGCCCAGGCGTGTGCCTGTTGTATCGCGTGCAGAAAGCCTTCAGAGGAGAGGAAGCCGGAGGTGCAGCACGGGCGCCTCGCCGGATGCATCGGGCAGGTGCCCCCCCCTCCCCGGCGACTCCTCGCTGGGGTGCACAAGTGCAACGCCGGCCACCTCGCTGTGAGGGAGAGGAGTCAGAGATGCCAGACGAGCGAAACGCTCGAGACATCCCCGCAGTCTGGCCGCGAACGGGCAGGTGCCCCCCCTCACGGTCTTCTCCTGCTTGGAGTACCCAAGCGCCACGCCTGCCACACCGCTGTGACCACGGGGCTGTCAAATCAGAGCAGTCGCGGACGCCAAACCAGCGATTCGCTCGAGACATCTCACAACTTGGCCCCGAACGGGGACGGGCCCCCATTTCTGGCTGCTCTTCCTTCGGGTGCCCATGTGGCACGCCTGCTAAGTCGCGTTGAGTAGGCGTCAGACTGAGCGTGATTGATCAGAGTCCGAGCGGTCTGTGTTATGAGTCTGAGTGTGAATGCAGCTGAGTACGAGCGTACCTGAGTGTGAGCGGCTTTAGTTTTAGTGAGTCTGAGCATGAGTGGGTCTGAGCATCAGTGGACCTGAATGTGTGAGTGGTCTGAGCATGAGAAATCTGAGTATGAGTGCCTCTGAATGCGAGTGAGTCTGAGTGTGTGCGAGTCTGAGCAAGGCTGATTATGTCAGTGAGTCGAAGCAGTAAGAACCAGTCAGAGCGGGAGAGGTTTTGACCGTCACTGAGTTTGGCTACGAGTCGTCAGAGTGTGAGTGGATTCGAATGTGAGCGAGTCTGAACAGGAGTAGGTCTGAATGTGATTGAGGCTGAGGGTGAGTAGGTCAGGTTATGCGCGACTGTATGGCGTCTGAGTAGGGAGGGGAGGGAGGGAGGAGAAGGCGGGAGGAATGAAGGTGAGGGAGAGGCATCGTACAGGAATAACAGAACCTCTACACCTGAGATATGGCGAGCCACACGTGAACAAAAATAGGGCACTGGACATCTCGGGACTTCTGGAGATAGGGCCCTGGAACCTCCGTGAGCTTCCAGCACTGACGCTTCGGGCGATCTCGTCCTCTCCCTCCCAGAGGGAGCGGCGAGTCGACCGTGGGGGGGAGATGCGCTCGCTCTGCTCCCTCGGACCTCCCCTTTCTTCCGCCTGTTAGCTCTCGAGGGGCGGAGCTGAGTGGGAGGGGAGGCACGTGGATGGCGGAAGGGACGGGGACATCTTCATCTCCTCCCTCCTCATCCTCATCCTCCTCATCCTCCCCCTCCTCCTCGGGAGGAGGAGGAGGGAGGAGGAGAGAGGAGGGAGGAGGAGGATGAGGATGAGGCGCAATGGGATGGAGGGACAATCCTTATCTCCTCCCGATGCTGCGAACGCCTGTCACTCCCCTGGTCGCACCGTCGCCCCCCTCCTCTTCCTCGCCCTCCCCCCGAGGGGCAGGGAGTGGGCATGGAGACTACCCCTGGGAGGTTTGATCTAGCCTCGGTGCTGGCACATCCGTGGTCGAGAATTGGCCTGATCCAGCATGGTCCCGCCTACAGGAGGAAGATTCAAAAATAACCAAAAATAGTCTGGGGACAATTTGTTTGACTATTTGTACCATTTTGGTGTACTGTTTTGACTATTCCTTTTTGTTCGTCCAAAGTCCGCTTGTAGGGGGACACGCCCGACCTAAGTCTAATCCAGCTCGGCCAGATTTGCTCTTTGGGCTTCATCTGGCTCGATCTGGATCACTGGCTCCGAGTCGGGCCCAGGAGCCCTTTTAAAAAATTCTTCCCACGACGACCTCCCCGGGAGTCGTCTCCGCTGCCCGGGGGGCAGCGTGGCAGGGCGTGGGGCTGCGCACAGACGCCCCCCCGGCAGGCCCCGGCTGGCCTCAGCAGCCCCCCGAGCGGCCCCAGCCGGCCTCCACGGGCCCCCGAGGAGCCCAGGGCGGTCCCAACGCCTCGACCCTGGGGCGCGGAGCGCACCAGGGTCGCGGAGGAGGAGGAGGAGGAGGAGGAGGAGGAGGAGGAGGAGGAGGAGGAGGAGGAGGGAGGAGGAGGGAGGAGGAGGAGGGAGGAGGAGGAGGAGGAGGAGGAGGAGGAGGAGGAGGAGGAGGAGGAGGAGGAAGTGACGCCAGGGTGTTGAGACCGCCCTGGACTGCAGTCAACCCGCATAGTAAGGATGAGCGATTTTCCAAGGTTGCCCTTGCATCCTTCCCCCTCGGCCCATCTTTGGCCGCCTTCGCTGGCCGCGCCCCGCTCGCAGAGTGCAGGCATGGCCTTCCGAGGCCCCGGCATGCTCAACGTGCGCCCTTCTTGTACGGGTTGGGTGCACTCGGGGGGCATGTTGAGGCCAGCTCTAGGGCCTCTTGAGGCCAGCCGGGACTATCTTTAGGTCGGGCATGTTCCCCTACAGGCGGATTTTGAACGAAATGCAAAACAGATTCAACAAATACCCAAAACATGCCCAAGCACACTCAAAAAATCGTCCCCAGAGAATTTGTTTGACCATGTTTCAGTATTCCTCCTGTAGAGGGACAGGCCCCGAATTAAGACTACCTGGGGGGCGGCGGCCTGCGCGCCGCCCGAAGCCTCACCAGCGGGGGGGAGGGGCACCGGGGGCCGCGGGCTCGCGGCCGCGGCCCGTCACTTCGCGTCCCTCTATGTCGGGGACCTCCACTCCGATGTCACGGAGGCGGCGCTGCGCGCCGCCTCTCCGCCCGCCGGCTCCGCACATTCGCGCACTTGTAGCTGCCTCGGTGCGCCCGTTATGAGACGCAACGCGTACCGTGTTCGAAACGTCCGTGTCTGTGCGTTGCGTGTTGGCTCGGCGTATTGGCCCACGTGTTGGCGAACGTGTCGCGTCATGCCTGCGGTTTCGGTCCACGTGTTGAGCGCTCCGTATCCATGCGCTACGTGTTGCGTGTTGCGTATCGGGGCAGCTAAGTTCGCGCAAGGTGGCCTCAGTCCCTCGGTTGCGATGCAGTCGGACCGAGGTATGAGATCGAGGTCGGTTCGGGGAGGGTATACCCTAACGTCCTTCGTGTTTGTTGGATGCTCTCGTGCCTCCCGGGGAGGGTACCCCAGGATGTCCTGTGCTTTTGCTTTGGCTGGCGGAGGGGCTCCTGTGCTCGAGGGCTGTTCGCCTGGCCTGGGTCCGACTGCAGCCTCCCGCCGTCGGCCCCCGGGCCCCACGAGCCCGAGCTCAAGCCCGCACATGTTCGAAAAGCCCCGAGCTACCAGGGCGCAGTGCTGTCAGGGTTCGCTTCTCACTCGGGCCTCCTGTGTTCGCGCGCCGAGTTGTCCTGGATCGCAGCCTTCCCCATGTTGAAACTGCACAGTGCTCTTCCGAGGCAGGAGTTTGCCCAGATCAGTCGGTTCCAGGGTTATCCCAGATGGCACTGAGAGAGGGCCTTACCCAGACGTGGTCTATCTAGGATGAGCTGGGTGCCCGATATGCGCTGAAATTGAATCCATTCTGGGCTCAGGAGGGGTTGTGGTTTTCGGGCCATTGCCTATAGAGCTAGGCTGGGGAAGCTCTATTCGAGGCCTAGGCGCGCCGTTGCCAGCAAACTTCCCTTCTCCGAGTCCTGTGTCCTCTTCTCCTCGCCTCTCCTGAGCCGCCTCCTCCGCCTCCTCCCGCCCTCGTCCGACTTCGCCCCCGCTTGTCAGTTGTGTTGGGCACTCCTCATTCTGAAGCTGCTCCTCTCCGTCTGCCTCCTCCTCCTCTCCGCCCTCCGCTTCCTCCCCAATGGCATCCCTCTGAGGCGATGCTGTACGAGATTTTCAACGCCGTAGGGCCTGTAGCCTCCATCCGTGTCTGCCGCGACAGCGTGAAGCGAAAGTCGCTGGGGTACGCATATGTCAACTTCCGGAACGTGGAGGACGCGGAGAAGGCGCCAATTCAGTCTAGACCCAACTCCTCGTCCTGCCTCGCCTCGGGTGTTCCCAGCTGAATCCCTGACGCGCAAGGTGCCAGGCCCCCCCAGGATCTCTCTGGAGGCCCGCACGACCCCAGGAGCACCCCTTACGAGGCCCTGAGGGCCTCATGGGCTTCAAAACGGGACGAATGTCTGGGAACGCAGGGACACATTCGAATGCAACTACTGGGAGGCGTAATTTACCATCGGCGCCGGTAGATCCGTGGTCGAAAACATGCATGCTCGACATCAGTCCGATAAATCGGGCTTGGAGGCTTAATGCTTGTTTGTATCTGGCTCAGAGCCCCTGAATCGTTCTTGCGAATCTCTCCCAGGAGTTGCCTTCTAATACACTTTTGGCAACCTCGATCGTCGTCGTTCTCCTCCGAGGCGCTGGACACGCTGAACTACTCCAGCATCAGGGGCCGCTCGTGCAGGATCATGTGGAGCCAGCGCGACCCCAGCGGGCGCAAGGGCATCCCCGGCAACATCTACGTGAAGAATTTGGACGCGAGCGCCTCGCTGGCGTCACGCGTAAGAGTGGCCCTTCGCCAGAGTGACCCTTGGTGCGGGCCCACAGGGGTGCCCCCAGCGCTGGGCCTGTCCTTCGACAGGGGAAATATTTCAAAAATACTAAAAAATTGTCAGGGGACGATTTTTTGACCACTTTTGACTATGTTTGAGTATTTTTGAGTATTTTTAAGTTTTCGTCCAAAATCCGCCTGTAGGGGGACGCTCCCGACTTAACCGTTGGTGCGCGGCCTGGGGGTGCGCGGGGGGCCAAGGCCGAGCACGCAGGCCGCCACTGCCGCATCGCATGCAGCGCTCGGTGAGACGCGCACCGCATGCCAGTGATGCCTGGGGCAACACCTGCGCGCCGCCGAGGATTTGAGCATCGACAACAAGGCCCTGTTCGACACGTTCAGCCTCTTCGGCAGCATCGTCTCTTGCAAGGTGGCTTCCTACTGCTCGTCGTCTTCGCCCCTCGTTCCTGCTCCTCGCCCCCTCCACCCTCGAGGCCGAGCCCACGACGTCCTCGGCTGGAGCGCTTTCTGCCCTGGCTGTCGGGGGGAATCCGGGCGTGGTGGCAGGGGCGCGAAGGGGGGCCGAGCGCCCAGAGGACCAGAGGGAGGGGAGCCGGCGCGGGGCGTGACTCGTGGAGCTCCCGACACCATCCCTGCGACCAGCCTGTTGTCGCGACAGGGTGTCTGATGGGGCCCCGAAAATGCCTCCCCCCCAAGAGGCCCGGCCCAAATCATAAGCGAGACGCGGCCGTCGTGACTTGGTGTCGACGCCCGGGGGTCTGGGCGCATGGGCTCAGGGGGGGGCACCGATCCCCAAGCGCCTATTCATCGTCGATGATAAGGGGCCTGCCAGCCCACCCCGCCCAGGAGCGTGCGGATTTGCGATCGGGGGCCTATTGCCGATCTATCAGAGAGGCATCGCCGATTTCAGCTCGATGCCCCCCCCGTGAGCTGGCCCTCCCCGAACGCTCTCCCTCAGAACAGTTATCTGACAAGGTCTGGGTGGGCCTTCCACCTCCAGTGACCCAGACGTCCTCCGACTTTGTTGCTTTTACTCCGCGACCCCAGGGTTCCCCGCCCCCTCTTGTGCTTTACGTTTGTATTCTGTCAATTTGCACCCTTTGAGTTGCTATTGACAAAGTTTTTGGTTTTTGCAAAGACCCTTTGGTCAAACTTATTGCGCTCGTTAGCAATATTTTGCGTGAGTTTGCTGCGCAACCTTTGAATTGCTTAGCCCCAGACCCATTCTTGCTGATGGCCCCAGGGCCCGATCACGGCGGAAGCCAGGGATCTGGGAAAATCGGATCGTCCGAGACCGGGGGGGTCATCTCGCGAGGTCGCCTCCAGCCCGGAGGGGAAGTCGTACGGCTACGGCTTCGTCCACTACGAGACCGACGAGGCGGCGCAGCAGGCGGTGGAGCGCGTGAACGGGATGCAGATCGGCGAGAAGACGGCCCCCTGCTGCTGCTCCTGCTTCGCCGCTTCTCGCACTCGGCAAGAAGCTACGGGGGCAATCACACATTTGTTGTGTGTTGGGTGAGCTGGGCTTTTTGGGCGAAGTGGAGGCCCCCCCGCCCCGCCCCTCGTGTCCAGTACAGCGGCCTTGCATCCGAGTGCACGCGCAGGCAGGGGCGAGGCAAGCGCACACACTGTTTATTTCTAAGTCTTCGAAAGTTCTATGGTTCTTTGGGGCCAAGATCCTTTTCATTTCTCATTGTTCTATCCTGGGCCTCTTCCTGGCCACTAGGGGGCCAGGAACAATTAGAAACAAGCACAGTTTGAAATGATCACGATTAGAAATGAACGACGCGCACGGGTGCGCTCGAAAAGGGCAGCCAGCGAGCAGCACCAAGCAGTCCTGCTGCTCCCGCTCCTGCCGATGCTGCTGCTCGCTGCCTGGGGCCGGGCAGATCACTTACTGGGGGCCCTCCAGGGGCGCTCTCTGTGCGCTCGTGGGCGCTTTGGGGGCCGTCCTGGACCCCGTTGGGGCCCTCTCTTGCGGCTATCTTCGGCCATCTTGGAGCTATCTTGAAGCTCTCAGAAGCGCATCGGAAGCGAAAAGGCGAGAGGGCACACTCCATTGGTTTACCATGTGTTTGAAACAGGCTTTGACATCTCGGGGGCGTTTCCTTGGCCACTTGGAGCCAAGTTTTGGGGCGGTCTTGAGGCCTGTTGGAGGCATCTTGGAGGCCATCTTGGGCTGTCTTGTGCCATCTTGGAGGCCACCTGGGGCCATCTTGGAGCCATCCTGGGCAGTTTTGCACGCCATAACCGCTCGCGGCACTCCGTCCAGACCTCCTCGAAGGACGGACGTCTCGATCACTCCCACCCGCCTTCCCACCACACGAGCAGCACCCGAGTCTCAGCATAAGCATGGGCCGCCATCGACAACCATCGGGAACCCGTGCAGATGCCAGCCGGGTGCGAGGCGCCCACAAGGTGCTCCGGATGTGGCAGGCCCCACCAACACCCTCGTCAGCTAACAGTGCGAGATGACCGCGGGCGCGCCCGCGCATGGTCCAAGATGTTGCCGCACCGTGCACTTCGCGTCGTTTGTTGACAGGTGAAGTGGGTTTGCGAGTGAGGTGCAATCTGCCGCCCCCCCCGCCTCGCCCCTTTTAAGCATTCTCCGTGCGAAGAGCCCGACCATATGGAGACAATTGTTTTATCACCCAAGGGATAACGCATGTTCCCCCCCCCCCCTTCCCCCCCCCAATAGGGGTAACGCCCTGGCCCCGATCCAGCGCGCGATCCTGGGCAGCCCAGGGTCTGTTGTGCACGCGGGCGTGCACTACGGTGCGCCAGGCAGGTAAGACGACAGAGGGGCAGGTCCCTGTGGGGCCACGAAGCGTGTGAGGGTTGTGCCGCAATCGTGAGCGGGGCCGCCATGCGGACCCTGCTGTTGGGGCCTTCGGTGGAGCTCCGTATGGTGCCACGAAGCGTGTGAGGGGTGTGCCGCAATCGTGTGCGGGGCCGCCATGCGGACCTTGCCGCTGTGGCCTTCGGTGGAGCTCCCCATGATGCCACGAAACGTGTGAGTGGTGTGCCGCACCAGATTGCGGGGCCGCTATGCGGACCCTGCCATTGGGGCCTCCGGTGGAGCTCCTGGTGGGGCCCCGACACAAGGGAGTGGTGTGCCAAATCGGGTGCGGGGCCGCCACGCGGACTCTGCCGCTGAGGCCTTTCGTGGATTTCTTGATCGGGCCACGAAACATGTGAGTGATGTGCAGAAAATTGGCGGGGCCACCATTCGGACCTTGCCGCTGGGGTCTTCGGTGGGGCACCCTTTGGGCCACAAAGCATGAGCGGTGTGTGCCGACATGGATGTGGGGCCGCCATGCGGACCCTCCATGGAGCTCCTTCTGGGGCCGCGAAACGTGTGAGAGGTGTACCAAATCAGATCCGGGGCCGCATGCGGACCGTGCCGCTGGGCCCTTGGGGCCACGAAACGTGTGAGTGGTGTGCCAGAATCGGGTGCGGGGTTACCGTGCAGACCCTGCCGCTGGGGCCTTCGGTGGAGCTCTTGATGAGGCCTCGAAGCGTGTGAGGGTTGTGCCAAAATGGGTGCGGGGCCGCCATGCGGACCCTGCCACTCGGGCCTCAGGTGGAGCTCCTTGTGGGGCCACGAAACGTGTGAGAGATGTATCGAATCGGGTGCGGGGTCGGTGGAGCTCCTTTGCCAAAATGTGTGCGGGGCCGCCATGCGGACCCTGCTGCTAATGCCTTCGGTTGGGCTCCCTATTGGGCCACTAAGCGTGTGAGGGGTGTGCCGACATGGATGCGGGGCCGCCATGCGGACCTTGCCGCTGGGGCCTTCGGTGGAGCTCCTTCTGGGGCCGCGAAACGTGTGAGTGGTGTGCCGAATCGAGTGCGGGGCCGCCATGCGAATCCTGCCGCTCGGGCCTTCGGTGGAGCTCATGATGAGGCCAAGAAGCGTGTGAGGGGTGTGCCGCAATCGGGCGCGGGGCCCCGATGCGGACCCTGCCGCTGAGGCTTCCAGTGAAGCTCCGTATGGGGCCACGAAGCATTTGAGGGGTGTGCCGAAATCGGCTCGGGGGCAGCCATGCGGACCCTGCCGTTGGTGCCTTCGGTGGAGCTCCTCATGTGGCCACGAAGCGTGTGAGTGGTGTGCCGAATCAGGTGCGGGGCCGCGAGAAGTGATCAAGCTACCCCGCACGACGGCCACGAGCCGTCTCGCCCACTCCCACTCGCCCTCCCAACATGAAATAGCACCCGAGTCTTGGCTTAGCCAGGGGCCGCCATCGGATGGACAGCCAATGGGAACCGACTCGGGCGCCAGGTTTGCGACTCTCGCGAGGTGCGCCCGCGCGTGCCAGGTGCGTCACGCGCACCAGGTGCGCCAGGCGCCCCAGAGGCCCAAGCGCGCCGGGCGCGCCTGGTGCGCCTGATGCGCCACGTGATCCACATGTGCCACGTGTGCCCTGCGCGCGCGGAGAGTGCCGGGCGCGCGCGCACGCGCGACCGAACACCTTTGGCAACATACCGACCCACCATCTCTTTGTTAAACACACATACACACAAACGTACGCACGCACACACACAAGAAACACACAGACACACAGACACACAGACACAGACACACACACACACACACACACACTTTTTGCATCGGCGGCTGGGCAGACGGTGACTGCTCTGGCGGATTGCTGCGCACACAGACATACACACGTTCACACGCCCTCACTCACTCACTCTCATAGACGCATACACATACACGCATGGAAAGCGTTGGCGGGGTGTCCAGCAATGGGGTTTGGCGCATGCACCTGCAGTCGGGTTGCGTCTGCTTCTTGACAGGAGTGATGGGCCCGCACCCACCGGACAAGACGCGGGGGTTACCGCAACGTGTGTTTCGCATAGTTTTCCACAGGGATGATGGGCACGCGCTCGGCAGGCAATATGCTGCCCCCCCACCGCTCCTTTCAACAAATAGTTTATGAAAGTAGTGAAAGCCGGACCCTCGCACATGGTTAGAGATTTTGCCGCAAAGAGCATGTTGTAGTGTTTTTGTCAGGGGTAGGTTCCTGGTCAGCCGCCGGTCGAGTGGAGGAGAGGGGGTGTATATTAGAACCCCTCCCCGAAAGGCAACAGAGGGGTTGGAAGAAGACACGCCTTAGACCACCTCGGGTCGAATTGGCGAACCCAGGGAGTGAGTGGCCGGCCGTCGGTCCAGCGGGGGCGAAGGAAAAAAATGGCATTGGAAGAAGGAACGTAATAGACCACCTCCGCCCTGGAGGGCTGGTGAGCTTTGCGAACGAGCTGTGCAGGGATGAATTGTTCTTCGTCCTTCTGCGAGCAACTCGTTTCCTTTTCAAGCGCGGCTCGCTGCTGTTCAAGGGGCGCTCGTCTTTCAAGGCGGCGTCCTCCGCACGCAGTGCAGGACGGATGGGTGCAGTGCATCATCGTTGACGCATCGTGGGCTTCTTGCGGCCTTCGTCCTCGTCATCTTGCCAACCTCCCTGCGCCTTCTCGTTCTGCTGCTGCGTCTCGCCCCTTTCCTCCTGCTCCTCTACCTCTTCCGCCTCTTGATGCTGCAAGCTGGCTTGCTCACCTTGCCCGCCCGCCCTCCTCCCTTCCCCGCGCTCCGGCGCCCTCGCTGTGGCCCACATCGTCTCGCTCGTCTCCTGCCTGCCGCTCCTCCTCCCCCTGCCCCCCCCCCCGGTGCTGCTTCTCTGCCCCGTGCTCTGGCACATTCTCGGCATCCTCTGCCCGTCGTGCCCCCGCTTCCTCTCCCTCCCGCTTCCCCTTGGTTTGCTGCTTTTCCTGCCCGCTCCTGCCCTCCTGCTCCCCCCCCCCGCTCCTCCTCCTCCTCCTCCTCCTCCTCCTCCTCCTCCTCCTCCTCCTCCTCCTCCTCCTCCTCCTCCAAGTCCTTCTGCTCCTCATCCTCCTCCTCCTCCTCCTCCTCCTCCTCATCCTCCTCCTCCTCCTCCTCCTCCTGCCCCCCCCCCCCCCGGGGCTGTCAGAGGCGCCTTCGAGAATCCCTCGGGGAGCGGGTTGGCTCCCCTGCGCCTCCTCACCCTCCTCCGCAGAGAGGTCCTCGTGAGCCGCCTGGTCAAGCGTGAAGAGAGGACGCCGGCCAGTGTCACCGAGTACACGAACTTGTACGTCAAGGGCTTCCCCGACGACTGGGATGAGGACAAACTTCGAGAGGAGAGGGGCGCAAAAAGACCTCGACCGATCGAGTTTGCTGTGAGCAGCAGGATGAGCAGTAGCGGGAGCATCAGGACCCCGAGGATGAGGAGGAGGAGGAGGAGGAGGAGGTGAAGGAGGAGGAGGAGGAGGAGGAGGAGGAGGAGGAGGAGGAGGAAGAAGAGTTGGAGAAGGAGGGGGGGGAAGAGGAGGAGGAGGAGGAGGAGGAGGAGGAGGAGGAGGAGGAGGAGGAGGAGGAGGAGGAGGGGGATAGGGGGGCGAGGGGGGAGGGGCGGAGGAGGCAGAGGAGGAGGAGGAGGAGGAGGAGGAGGAGGAGAAGCAGGAGGATAATCGAGAACCCGCAGACAGGGATGAATGCGCGCGTGTTAGCGGCGGGTCCCCTTCCCGATAAAGTTCTTAGCCTTGTAGCGCACGGCGGGACGCCAAGCTTCCAAAGAGCAAGCTCGAAGCTTCAGATTTTAGCTTGAGCTAACTTTAGCTTGAGCTTCAGCTTCAGCCTTTTCTGCATCGCATGTTTTTGCGCTGTAGCTTCGCTGCTAGAGCTTGAGCATAGGATTCCGCGTGCGGGCCGAACGTGGTTTGGGGAGGTCCAGAGAGGTGCGAAGCGCGCCGTGTCCACCATGACGACACAGAAACAGTTGATTTGCATTGCAGTTCTTTTCCGCATTGCAGTTGTTGCTCTGCATTGCAGTTTTGTATGCATCGCATTTTTTTTCGCTGCAGCTTCGTTGCAAGAGCTTGAGCTCAGATTTCGCGTGCGAGCCGAACGTGGTTTAGGGAGGTCCGGGGGGAGCAAGACGTGAATTGGGGAGGTCCGGTTGCACCTCTGCCCGCCTCCCGCCCTTGCTCCGCCGCCGCACGGTTAGTTTCGGGTGGTTTTTATGGTCTGGTTGATTGGTCTGCTCAGTATGGCGTGGTTGGTCCACTTGGACTGGTTGGTCTGGCTGGTCTTGTCGCCAGGGTTCTGCCAGATCCGATCCAAGTTAGTTGGTCTCATTGGTTTGTTCGCATAGGTTCCTTCTCTTGTCTGGCTGGTTCGCTTGATTTGATTTCTTCGGTTCTCTGGGTTGGCCTTGGTTAATTAGTTGATATGTTTTGTTTGGTGCGGTGTGCTCTTACTGGTCTTTTCTAGTATTGTTGGTCTGGCATTGCGTTCCTCGCTCTTGTTGGTCCTGGTATGATTGCTCTGGTCTGGTCTGTGCGCGGCTGTCGCGGTTCGCACGGTTCGTCCGGCTGATTTGCTTGGCATGGTTAGTTGGAGGTGGCAGCTCCGATATTTGGTTGGTCTTGTTGGGTGATCTCCTCAGTCTGGCGCAGATGGGCCGCTCTTGTCTGGTTGATTACGTTGGTTTGTTGTGTTCGGTTGGCTGGGCTGGCCTTTGTTGGTTGGTCTGTGGTTTGGTTAGTATGGTCTGGTGAGCTCTAACTCGTTGAGTGGATCATCTGGTGGATCTGGTCTAGTGTGGTTGGTCTGCCCTGCCTTGTTGGTTGATTGGGCTCCGTTGTTGGTCGATTGGTTACTGTGCCTGGTTTATGTAGTCCGATGTTTCGGCTGGTCCAGGTATTTTCTCGAACTTTCCTGGGTCTGCCTGCTGCGCTGGATTTGGACGAGGAGGAGGAGCAGAACCAGGAACAGCAGCAGGATCAACATCAGCGCGCGGATGGAGAGAATTCAAAAGTGGATCGGGAGGAGGCGTGGCAGAGGAGAGTTCGCTGCAGCAGCCATATTAGTTTTTAGGGCCCGAAGCAACGTTCAGCGCTGGGGGCCTAAGAACGTTCCGCTCCCAGCGGCTTAGAATGCCAAACTGGCGCTCCCCGCCGCCAGCATTAGTCAGTCGCGGCCTCATGTTTAAGGCGGTACCCCTCCCGATCTGCGGATCTGGCGCCCACGCGCCAGATCCACGGACGATGGCGACGGCGACGGCGACGACGACGACGACGAGCGTCCCTCGACGGGGAACTGCCTTCAGCCCATGAGCCGCGGCTGCTGCGCCGCCGGAGCTCGTGGCGCGGACCCCGGGTGGAGTGCCAGCGAGAAGGTTGTGGTCGCCTTTCCCCTCCTGCCCTGGGGCTCTACCCGCCCCCAGCTGTTAATGCTCTCTCCCTGCGCGCTCCCTGTGCTCGCCGCCGCCCCGCCACCGACTGTGGCTCAAGCTATTCAATGAAGGGGCGCGCCTCCAGCGCGCGAGGGCAAAGGGGAGTTAGATTGTCTCGTCGTCGTCCTCCCCCCGTCACTCCGTCACTCCTACATATGAGCTTAACGGATTGTTGAAGACAAAGAAGCCCATTTGATAGACCCATCTTGAGCGATTAGACCCAGATTTCACCATCTGTGCACCATTCAGTCCCGCCTTCGCTGGAAATCATGTTCATCTGGTGAAAGACTCCCTCTCTTCTGGCCCCCACGGAGCCTGCAACAGCCCCAATTCCGCATGAGCCGTCCTGGGGGTTTTGGAGACCCATCGAACAGCACATGAACCCGGCGCGCCCCCAATCAGGGGAACGTTTCTTGAGCGGCAACACTTTGTTTGGCACTGCATTGCTGCGCAATGTTTTGCATTGTTGGCGTTGTATGGCGTTGTTTGGCATTCCTTCACGCTCCCTCGCATTGGCTGGCATCGCTGCGCATTGGCTGACATTGCATGTTGCCCCGTTGCTTGGCATTGCTTTGCATGGCCTCGCATCGCTCAACATGTATTGCATGACGTTGTATTGCTTAGCGGGGCTGGGTATCGCTTGGCATGACTTGGCATTGCTTGGCACTGTCGGGCGCTGCTTGGCATTGCGTAGCATTTCTTGGCATGTCCACGCGTTGCTAGGCATTGCTCGGGATTGTTTTTCTCACAAAACAATCATCCAGGAAACAAGACTAGATGGGGCTGGGGACGCCGCGGAAAGCTCGCGTGCCAAAGGACACAATGCCAAAAGGACTGGGGGCACCCAGGCAGCTTCCAGAGGAAATCGAGGAAGGCTGGTCGTGCAGAAGCAGAAATTGCACAAGGCCAAATGGGCCCGAGGAGCCCGGGGCACCCCGAGGAACGCCCTGCAAGGGGACAGGACTGGGGAACCCCCGAGGAACTTCCTCACGGAAGGAAGCGAGACCGAGGAACCCCCAGAACCGCCCAGGCCAACCGCGTTTGGCACCCGCTGGGTGTTCAACACCAAGCCAGGGACCCCGTAGGCAAAGCTTAATTGGGGACCAAGACCAGGCACCGTCGATAATTTTTTCTTGAGGCTCAAGGCCTGGAGTCCTAAGGCTCCTGTAAGGAAGCACGATTGGGGAACCCCCAGGGAAGGCCTGTGTCAGGCATCAACACTGGAGAACCCCGAGGACGGCCAGTCCAACCAGGCCTAGCAGTCACCGGTTCTTTTATAGCCCATAAAACCCCTTGAGGCAGAGCCTCATTGGGATTGTATGTATTCCTTCTCACTGCCTTCAGCAAGCGCCCTCCTGATAACGGTTTGGCGCGGCGTGCAGAAGGACCAAAGGACATGATGGGCTGACACCGCGATTACGTACACAGCACGAGCGCGAAGGGTGAGAGCCGAGGCTCCGCCGCGCCTCCCGCTTAGGGACGGCTTCTGGGCCGAGGGTCGCAGGAGTTCTGCTCTGGTATGCTCCTCCTCGAGCTTCCTCCGCCGTCATCCCCCTTGGGTCTCCGGAGGTCCCCGCGCACCCTCCGGAGGTGTCCCCGCGGAGGCCCCTTTCGGTGGCCTCCCGGGGCCCAGCACAGCAATGTGGCCAAGAGCACGCCGGAGGACACACACACACACACACATAGATATATATATATATATATATATATACATATATATATATATACACAAGATTTTACCGGCTCGCTGCGCTTCGCCTTTGAAATCTTGGTCGCATGGCGCCAGGGAGGCGCGATGAGATCAGTTGTTGTCACAGCCGCGGTGTTTTCTGGCCATGGAGACCATGGAGCAAACAGGGCCGATAGGACCAGGTAATATTGCGGCTCAAAAAGCTCAGAAGGGGTCTCTGCCGTCATGGGGCCCAGGGGGCTCTGAGCCCTCATTTTAGGCGAGGGGTAATGCTGCCGATGCGGCTCCAGGGGGTCATGAGATTCACAGGGTTCACAGGGCTCATGGGGTTCGTTGGGGTCATGGGACTGTTTGTGCACAACGGGCACGGGTCTCATAATGCTGAGTGGCTTTTACAGAGGTCATGGGGCTCATAGGAGGCTCATGGTGCTTATCAAGGGTCCTGGGGCTCCTTGGAGTCATCAGCTCTTGGGGGCCAATTGGCTCGTAGAGCTCGCAATGCTTCTGGGGGCCATAGGGCCCATAGCGCTAACAGAGCGCGTAGGCCTCGCAGGGCTCATGGGGCCTATTGGGGTGAAGGGGCAAGTCGGGGCCATAGGGCTCATAGGGCCCATAGGCCGTATACGGCTCACTGGGCTCGTAGGGCTCAGACGGGGGTCTCATGGGTCTCGCAAGGCTTCACGGCTGCTAGTGCTGAGAAGGTTCTAGGGCCCATAGGGCGCATAGGCCTCATAGGGGTCATCGCGCTCACATGGTGACATGGAGGGTCGGGGGGGTATGAGGTTCGGCTCATTGAGTTTATGGGGCTCCTGGGGCTCGCAAGCTCATAAAGCTCATGTGGCTTCTAGTGCTCATAGGCCCCAAAAGGCTCATCAGGCTCATGGGGCTCATGGAGCTCGGAGAGCTCATGGGCTCGTAGGGCTCTTAAGGCTCATTGGGCTCCTAGGGCTCATTGGAGTAATAGGGGTCGTCGGGGTCATAGGGCTCATGGGGCCCATAGGGCTCACAGAGCTCATAGGGCTCATAGGGCTCATTGGCTCATGAGTTCGTAGGGCTTGAAGGGCTCATTGGGCTCATAGGGTTCACAGGCCCCATAGAACTCATAGGGCTCATAAAGCTCATAGGGCTCATAGGGTCATGGGGTTCATAGGGCGCATGGGGCCCATGGGGCCCATATGGCTCATAGTGCTCACAGGGCTTACGGGCTCATATGGGCTCTCATAGGGCTCATAGGGCTCATAGGGCTCATGGGGCTCATAGGACTCATAAGGCGTACGGGCTCATAGGGCGTACGGGCTCATAGGGCTCGTAGGGCTCATAGTTCACACAGGGCTCATAGGGCTCATAAGGCTCATAGGGCTCTTATGGCTCATAGGGCTCATGGGCTCATAGGGGTCCTCAGGCTCATCGGGCTCATAGGACTCATGGGCTCATAGGGCTCATAGGGCTCATAGGGCTAATGCAGCTCATACAGCTCATACAGCTCATAGGGCTCATAGGGCCCATAGGGCTCATAGGGCTCATAAAGCTCATAGGGCTCATAATGCTCATGCGCACCGTCTATGGCGGCACACCCGTGATCTGGATTATGAGTTTGGGGGGACCTTCAGGGTCTCGCGGCGTGTGGGGGTAAGAGCTCTGAAGGTGTAAGGGTTCCCAGGCCTCACAGGGCTCATGGGGCACCATGAGGCACCAACGTGGTCGTAGGGCTTGTGGGCCGACAGTGCCTCATATGGCTGATAGGGGTATGGCCTCTCGGGGCTCTCGTGAGGCTCCTTTTGAAGCTCTTTTTGGGCTGCCTGGCGGCCCTCCTGGGTCGTCCTGGGACCCTCTTGGGCCGTCCTGGGGGGCTCGGGCCGTCTTGGGGCCCTCTTGGTTCTTCTTGGGGGCCTCCTGCGGCCTTCTTGGGGCTCTCTTGGAAGCCTATTGGTGCTTTTTGGGGCCGTCGTGGGGCTCTCTTAGGTCGTTTTGGGGCCCTTTTGGGCTGTCTTGGGGCTCCCTTGGGGACTTCTTGGGCCGTCCTGGGGCGATCTTGGGGGCCTCTTGGGCCGTCTTGGACGCGGTGAAGGCCAAAGAAGCGGATATGCAAAAACACTAAGTTTTCCGGTGGGAATGGGGCGATGATAACCTCTTGGGGGTCTTCTTGGGGGCCTCTTGGGGCGTCTTGAGAGCATCTTGGGCCGTCTTCAAGCCACCTTGAGGCCTCTCTGAGCGCTCATGAGCCGTTCTGGAGCGGTCTTGGGCCGCCTTGGGGCTTTACGGGGCCGTCCAGGCAGGGATTGCCGGGAGAGGCGCCCGAAACCGAAATTCGAATTTAACGTCGGTGGGAGCGCCCAGGGCCGAATTTATGTACGGGGGGGGGTCTGGGGGGTTCCGCTATAAGAATATTCGAAGAGGGATATACACATATGTATTTATATATACATATATATACACAACTACATACGCGCATGTGCATATACATATAAATGTACATCGACATCTATATATATATATATGTATGTATGTATACACATCTGTGTATATATATATATATACACCTGCACATGTATACATATACATCTATACACCTATGATCGATGCCTCCTCTCGTCCTAACCCAACTCTCTCGACTCTCGTCCCTTATCGCTCCTTCTTCGGCGGCGCACCGAGGGAGGAGGTGAGGGGGGGCAGGCCTACTCAGAAGGCGGTCGGGCTGCTCAGACGCCCCCCAGCCGTCTGCGACGCCCTCGGGCTTCGGAGATGGTGCGGGAAGATTCTCAGGAGGCCGAGTGGCTTCGAGACTGTTTTGTGATCCTCTGCGCGTAACGGTCGCTACCAAGGCCAAACCTTCCCCCCCCCCCCAGGTAACGATCGTGCGTAGGGAGGGGGGGGGGGAGGGCCGTGCCCCCCCCCTCCCCTCCCCGCACACATGCTGGCGTTCGCGCGCATCTTGTGGCGATTGCAGCGCACACCCGCCCCGGTGTGCACCACCAGGCCCAAGCGCAACGGGCACCCGAAAGAAATTGTTCTGGCGAGGCAGCCAGCCTTATGCAGTTGTGAGTACCGCGTAGTTGGCACCCAACGTAGCGAAACACATGCAGACGGAAGTGTCTCGTCATTTTCTGTCTCTGGGGGCCCCGGACCTTCAAAGACGACTTGGGATGAAAAGCTGGCCCAGGGATGAGAGTCTGGATTTCCGTGAGCCCTGTATGGACCTTATCTTGGCGTAGGACCCAACCAGATGCAGCTGTGAGTACCGCGTTGTGGGCTCCGCTCTCGGTGGAGCTTCCTATGGGGCCACGGAGCATGTGAGGGGCGTGCCGACGTGGGCGGGGAACCGCATGTGGACTTTGCCACTCGGGCCTTCGGTGGAGCTCCCTATGGGGCCGCGAAGCGTGTGAGAGGTGTCTCGACATCCAGAGGAGGAAAAGGTACCCATACCTCTACCCTTCCCTTGCTTTTCCCTTTTGGGGCCTCCTTGGCGGCCATTGTCGCCACCGCTGGATTCGCCTGGAAATCCTGGTCAGACCGCAACCCAGGAGAGGTCTGGGGAGTAGCGGTATCGGTACCTTCTGTTTCCCCAGTGTCGACATGGGCGTGGAACCGCATGTGCACTTTGCCGGGTCCGTCCTTGGATCTCCCAGGGGTCCACGGAACGTGTGAGGGGCGTGCCGGAATTGGCAGGGAACCGCATGTGGACCGTGGACCCTGCCAGTGGAGCATTCGGTGGAGCTCCCCATGGGGCCTCGCAACGTGGGAGGGGTATGTCAAAATGGGTGGGGAACCGCATGTGGACTTTGCCACGGGTGCGTTCGGTGGGGCTCCCTATAGAGCCACGAAACGTGCGAGGGGTTGCCGACATCGGTGGGGAACCGCATCTGGACTCTGCCATTGGGGCCGTCCTTGGATCTTTCTATGAAACATGTGAGGGGCGTGCCGAAATGGGCACGGAGCCGCATGTGGACCGTGGACCCTGCCACTGGAGCCTTCGCTGGAGCTTGCGATGGGGCCACGAACGTGTGAAGGCCGCATGTGTACCCTGCGGCTGGGATCTTTGGTGGAGATCTCTCTGGGGCCACGAAGCGTGTGAGGGATACGTCGACATGGGTGGGGAACCGCATGTGGACCCTGCCGCTAGGGCCCTCAATGAAGCTCCCTACGGGGCCACGAAACGCTGTATTGGGTGTGCCGAAGTGGTTGGCACGCGGAGGGCAACGGCAGGGATGAATGGAGAGGAGGAGGAGGCGGAGGAGGAGGAGGCGGAGGAGGAGGAGGAGGCGGAGGAGGAGGAGGAGGAGGAGGAGGAGGAGGCGGAGGAGGCGGAGGAGGGGGGGAGATGCTGGGCGCTGCTTCTTCAAAACGAGGACCCGGCAGCACAGGACGGTCGGGACAAAGTTCCTCTCCTCGGAGCCTCCCGAGGAGGCCCGCGCCCGCTGCCTTCACGCCTGGGCGCGCCGCCGACCGGCTCTCTCGTCCCGCGTCCTTCCTCCTGGCCGACGCGGGTCCGCTGCGACGCGTCGGCGGCCGGTCGGGAGCCCCGGAGCGGTCGCCCAGGGGCGCTCGTCGAGTGGCTCGGGGAGTGCCAGCGCGCCCTTCGGGGCCCGCCTGACGGGGTCCAGCGGGCAGGAGGGGGAGAGGACGAGGGGAGGAGGGGCTGAGGGAGCCTTCCCTCTCCCCTTTTCCCCTCTCCCCGGCATCATTGCATCTGAAGGCTCTGGATGACGTTTCTGGTGCCGCTTCTTTCATCAAGTGCTAAGCATGAAGAGGCCTACGCTCAGAATGTCGAGCCAACCAGAGTTCCCAGGTGCAGGTGTTGTCAGTTCCCGATTTCGAGTGGCGCACGGTAGAAACGGACCTAGGGGAGGAGGAAGGCGGCGAAGCGTCGAGCATCGAGCCCAGGCCCCCAACGTAGTGAAACAAATGAAGACGGAATTGTCTCGTCATTTTCGGTCCCGCGAAGCGTGTGAGCAGTGTGCCAGAATGGGCGGGGAACCGCATGTGGACTTTGCCATAGGCGCCTTCGGTGGAGCTCCTTATGAGGCCACGAAGCGTGTGATGGGTGTGCCCAGATTGTCGGGGAACCGCATGTACTCTTTGCCAAGGGGGCCTTTGTAGAGCTCCAGATGGGGCCGCGAAACGTTTGCGGGCGTGCTGATTTGAGACTGGAGCCGCATGTGGATTTTGCCAATGGGGCCTTCGGTGGGTCTCCCTACGGGGCCGCGAAACCAGTGAGGGGTGTGCCAGAATGGGCGGAGAACCGCATGTGAACTTTGTCACTGAAGCCTTCGGTGGAGCTGCTTATGAGGCCGCGACACGTGTGAGGGGTGCGCCGAAATTGGCGGGGAACCGCATGCGGGCATTGCCACTGGGGCATTCGGTGGAGCTGCCCATGGGGCCACGAAACGTGTGAGGGGTGTGCTGACAAGGGAATTGAACCGCATGTGGACTTTGCAACTACAGCCTTCGATGGCGCCGTTTATGGGGCCGCCAAACGTGTGATGGGTGTGTCGAAATGGGCGGGGAACCGCATGGGGACTTTGCCAGTGGGGCCTCCAGTGGGGCTCCCTATGGCGCCGCAAAGCGCGTGAGGGGTGTGCCGAACCGTGTACCACTGTGCCTCGCGACGGATGCCCTGCAGGCCACGCGGGCCTCCCTGGAACAGCCGGGGCCACCTCCGGCCCAGGGCCACCTCGAACAGCGCCCGATGCGAACGCCTCCCGAGGCATGCGGGGACCGTTCGGAGTCGGCCTTTCATTTTTCAAGATAAGTGAATATATACATACATATGTATATATGTGTGCGTATATATATATATATATATATATATATTCGGTCGGTCTGGGCCTTCCCAGGCCTCGGGACCGTCCGCGGACAACTCGGGATGGCAAGCCCGTGCTGGGGAGGTGGCCGAGAGGTCGAGGGGCCCGCGTCTCGAAGAAAGCGAGGCGCTGGATGCCCGGAGAGAAATCTGTGCCGCGCCGGCTCGGGATCCAGATTGGGATTTCGATCAGCCAGAGGGGGCGTATTTGTAAGTCGGGCATGCCCCTCTACAGGAGGAAAATTCAAAAATAGTGAAAGCATAGTCTGGGGACGATCTGTCAACTATTCTTTTTTTCCCTCCAAAGTCCGCCTGTAGGGGTGAATGCCCGACCTAAGCGTACTTCTCAGGAGCTGGGCAAGTGCGGGCCCATCAGGGCAAGCGCGCTGAGGACCGACAAGCGGGGCCGCAGGATGGCCTTCGTGGACTTCGAGACGACGGAGGATGCCCAGAAGTGCGTCGCGGAGATGCACATGAAGGCTGGAGCCGGTTGGGGGGGCTGAGGTGGTCCAGCATTAGGGAAACAAGTAATGACATAAACAAAAAAAAACTCGGAGGTCCGCGCGGACTTCTCGGATCGGCGTTGGACCCCCCTCCTTGGCGCGGGGATTGCGCCAGGGGCGGCGCCGGAGGTGCCGCCAGGGAGCTTCAGCGCCGATCCCAGAAATCCGCGCGGACCTCCGAGTTTTTATGCTCGTGCCATTCCTCGTTCCCTTGAGCATGCGGGAGCAGGGCCTCCGTCGTCGCCACGGCGGGAGGCGGCTCGAACAACTGGAAGAAAGTTTCGACCCCGGGAGGGGCCTGGGGACAGGTTAGGATCGACTTTGCTTCCATCCCCCGAGAATTGTTTGTTTCATCTCCTGACGGGCGTGACGTGACCCGGCGAGGAGCGGGTGGGTGGCAGGGCCTATCACGGGCGTTATCGCGAATAGTCGAACGCTGCGTTTTCCTTGAGCGTATCTCCAGCTCAGATCCCTCAGCCGCTTCCAACATGAAGGACGTGCGCACAGAGGACGAGATTGCCAAGGCTCGCGAGGAGGGCGAGGAGGAGGCCGGCAAGGACCCAGATGGGCACCCGACCGGCAAGCTGTTCGTGCAGCGTGTGGTGTCGAGGCAGGAGCGTGAGCGGGAGGCGAAGGCGGCCAGCGCAAGCGTGAAGAAGGAGCCCAAGGTGAACCTCTACGTGAAGAACCTGGACGAGTCCATGGACGACGCCAAGTTGAGGGAGCTGTTCGAGCCCTTCGGGTCCGTCATTTCGGTGTCCGCGCAGAAGGATGCGGATGGGAGGTGCAAGGGCTACGGCTTCGTTTGCTTCGAGACTCCTGCCGAGGCTACCAAGGCCGTCACGCAGATGCACTTGACGGTGATCAAGGCCAGGGGAAGGAGACCTACGTCTCCGACGAGATGCGTTTTTCAATCCTGCAGTTTTTCGTTTATTCTGGTTTCTGGGGCCGCTATCGGACTCCAGGACCATCAGTGTTATGGATCCTGGGGCCGCAGATTGAAAGCACCATATCATACCGTCGGATGTATGGAGAAGCGATTTGTATTCAGGAGGTCGTCGTTTTCTTTGTCCAGAGCGTTTGGGAAAAGCAAAGCGCAACGTCGTCATTTGTTTTACACCTTTTTGATTTTTCAGGAATGAGCGTCGCCGTTGTTTGGTGGACCCTCAGTTAGGGGGTTCTGGAGGTGTCTCGTCCGTTTTGGGACCCCCACCCTTTCCATGTTCGTCCGAAGTCCACGCCGTCGGTTCGAGCAGGCTTTGGGTTCGGTGTCGTTGCTTCTCTCGTGACGCCACCACCAGGGTGGGGCACCTCAGGCAAGGAGGGCCACGATCTATATATATATATATATATATATATATATATAGATACACCTATTCATATAGATCTATATACCTTACGAGGAGGTCTCGAGCGAGAGGGCGGGGGAGCACAGCAGCCGGAGGATCTCCTCCCTGGCTCCCCTCACGCGGGTGGTGGTCGTGCCTTTTTTCTTTCTCGCGTGTTGCCAGGCGTGCCCCTGGCCCTTAAGGTGCCCCCCACGATTGCCGAGGAGGCCCTCACGGCCTCCAGAGCACCCCCTTCACGAGGCTCAGAGGGCCCCAGGAGCTCCAGCATGGAGATAAGCAAAAGCGGGGGGCACCTTGGGGCCAGGGGCACCTTCGGCAACCCCCGATTCCCTGTCCCTGAGATCCGAGGTCGCTGGTGGTGGCGTCGCCCTTCCTCATCCCTGAGACCCGACGCTGCGAAGCAGAGACACAGCAACAGATCGTGAACGGAGCCGCAGACCCAATCTTCCTGCTGCGGTTCCTGGGCCAGATCGATTTGTGATCGACCAGGGGACCGAAAGATTGGGCGGCCCCGCCCGCTCTGACACAAACCACACACGCCTAGATCCGCAGTGGCTCCTGCAAGGGAAAGCCCCTGTACGTCGGCCTCGCGGAGAAGCGCGAGGAACGCCAGGAGCGCCTGCGGCTGCGCTACAACCCCGGCGCCAGCGGCAAGGGCTTCGCCGGCGCCGGCGGCAAGGGCGCGTGGGTCCCAGGCCTCTCGGACATCAAATCTCGGGGACGGCCAGGAGGGGGGGGATGACTAGGGGGGGGTGGGGTATCATGGCGTGGGCCATGCTATTTCCTCTGATTTCATGGCGCCTCTTCTTGTTTCATTACGTCCCCGCCCCCCCCCCCTGGGCCGCGCACATGCCGCCAGCCATGATTTGCGCCCCCACCTCTAGGACGCCCCCTTGGCCGCCCCCGAAAATCAGGCGCTGGCCCCGTGCCCCCTGAGGCACCGACAGCACTGCGTCAACAGTCGTGGGCAACAGTGTGGAAGGATAAGCTCGATGCATGTACCACGTCGTTGGGTCGGCCACGCGGATTCGTGCAAGAATAGCCAGGGTGCAAGAGCATCAAGGGTCTGAGCTTTTATGGCATTTTCGTCGGGTCTTGGCGATTTTTCAACCTCGGGGTCCGTTTCAGCAGCTGCGCGTCGCCGAGAGCCCTCGGGGGGTACCCAGATGGTCCCGAACGGCTGCAGGCGTCTCGAGTTGTGGCCCGAAAGCCACCAGGGGCAACGTTTGGGGGAGGATCGGCTCAGGGGCGGGGGTGCATCGACCTCTAATCGACCAGTCATCGCTGATAGGTGCCTGGTATCGAAGAGATAACAACAGCGTAAACATAAACGTCACGAGTTCCGCGCAGATGTTTGGGATCGGCGCCGGGCCCCCCTCCCTGGCGCCGCCTCCGGCGTCGCCCCTGGCGTGCGCGCGCCAGGGAGGGGGTCTGGCGCAGATCAATGAAATCCGCGTGGATCTCTGAAAGCTTATGTTTGTGTTGGTGTTCCCCACATCCTAAGTGTGGCTCTTGTTTTCTCTTGACACCCCACGTAGTCCTCGCACCTCGCCTGACACCCCCTCTCGTCCCCATTCACACGCTTACGCGCTCACTCAGTCATCATCATCATAATCATCATCATCATCATCATCATCATCATCATCATCATCATCATCATCATCATCATCATCATCATCATCATCATCACCATCACCATCACCATCACCATCACCATCACCACCATCACCATCACCATCACCATCACCATCACAGTCATCATCATCACCGCCATCACCATCATCAGCATCATCATCAGCATCATCACCATCACCATCATCATCCTCATCAGCAGCATCACCATCACTATCACGATCACCATCACCATCACCTTTGAAGTCACCATCACTCACCCACTCACCCAAAGCATTATCATTATCATCATCATTCCCACATCATCATCATCACCACCACCATCATCATCATCATCATCATCATCAAACTCACCACCAGCACCATCACCAGCACAAGCATCAGCATCACCATCCTCATCATAATCATCACCATCACCATCACCATCACCATCATCATCATCATCATCATCATCATCATCATCATCATCATCAGCAACATCCTCATAATCATCATCACCACCATCACCATCGCACACAGTCAATGATCCTAGGGAGTCTTGAGCGGAAGCCTCCTCTGTGACTGAATTGCGAGGACGTCTCAGGCGTGAGCCCTCTCCCTACGGGGTCCGCAGCTCATGTTATTCATCCGACTGGGTCACTGGTTCCTTGTAGTTGTCGTCACTTTTGAGATCAGCAAGCCTGAATTTCGAGGAAGTCTCGAGCGGGATCCTCGCCTGTGAGTGACTTGTTCGTCTGTGAGTGAACTGCGAGGAAGTCTCACACGGGAGCCCCTGTCCTTATGAGATCCGCAGCTCATGTTGCGAATCCGAGCGGGTTATCGGGTTCATAGCACCGTCGTCTCTTTTGGGACAGTCAAGCCTCAATTTGGAGGAACTCTCGAGCGGGAGCCTCGTCTGTGAGTGAATGGCGAGGACGTCTCAGGCGGAAGTCCCCCTCCCTATGGGGCCCGCAGATCATATTACCAGTCCGAGCGGGTCATGAGGGTCTTGTAGCCGTCTTCACACTTGGCCTGCTCAAGTTTTTTTGTTCTACAGGACGTCTCGTGCGGGAGCCTCGTCTGCGAGTGAATTGCGAGGAAGTTTCAGGCGGGAGCCCCTTCCCTATCGGGCCCGCAGCTCATGGTATTAACCCGACTGGGTCATCGGGATCATGTTATTGTCGTCATTGTTGGCTTCTTCAAGCATGAGTATGGGAAAGTCACATGCGGGAGCCTCGTCTGTGAGTGAACTGCAAGGAAGTCTCAGGCGGAGCCCCCTCCCTATGGTGCCCGCAGCTCATGTTATTAATCCGGGAGGATCACCGGGATCCTGTAACTGTCGTCGCTCTTCGGCTCCTGACGCTTGAAAAGGGCGTAAATCTCGAGCGGGATGCCCGTCTGCGAGTGAACGGCGAGGAAGTACATGCGGAACATGATGATCGTGCAGCCGCCCACGCGTAAGTTCTTAGAGCGCGGACCGCCGGCTTTTCTGCGGAGGGCGCTCAGGGAGTTCGGCAGGAGAGCATAGAGCTCCAGGGTTGAGGTGGAGCAGCTCGCGGCAAAGCTGGGTTTCGCGCTGCCTCCCGCTTAAGCGCGGCCAAGCCTGGCCATGTCTAGCGCGAGACCTGCGGGGTTGTCCCCATTTCCCGCGCCCCAGCGGTTCGCGGGGTTGTCCCGACGGCCTGGCCCTCGGAGTTGCCCCAACGGCGTCGCGATCTGACCATCGGAGAACCCGCCCGTGCCGGACTTGGCGGCAACGGTGACAAAGATAATCAATGTGCGCACCCTTTGCTAAGGAGGGGCGGGGGGGGGCATGGAGGGGGTAGACGAGGCATGAGGACGAGGGACGCAGAGCAGGGGGCGGGAATAGGCCCCCCGCCGGGGCGAAATAGAAGAGGGCGAGGAGGAGACGGCAAGAGAGCCTCTGCATCCACAAAAATGACAGCGAGGTCTACTTCCGTATTCGTTTGGGGGGTCTTCATGGGGGGTAGCCCGACCGTCGGTGCAATTAGTTGTTCTACTGGCCGCACGCCCCGTCCAGGAATGTGCGGATTCGATATCGGGGGCCTGTCGCCTATCTACGTCGGCGATCTATTCTGAGCCGCTCGAGGCGAACAGCACTTATGCCCCAGCGCCTTACTATGCGCGAGGGCGCAAGAGTTGATATGGTTGCTGATGTTCCCTCCCCCATATCACTTCCCTGTTCCGCCGCAGCCGGAGTTGACGCAGCAGCGCTTTCGGCCCCAGCCCCGCTAAGACGACAAGGGTCCGCAATAGCCCCATACATGAAGGCCTTTCAAACAAAACCCCTACACTACCATACCAGGCGTTCCTGGTATGATACTATTTGGGGCCTCTTTGGGGCACTTTTCCTCTTGGAGCCCTGTCGGGACCTTCTTGGGGAGTTCTTCGAAATCTTTTGAACCTTTTGTCAGTCTCGGCCCCAGGGCGCCTAAGAGAAGTCCAAGGCGCACAAGAGGGCCCGAAAGAACCCCGAGGGGGCCTTGCAAACAGACCCTAACACTATCACAATGGGGGTCATTTGGTGTGCTTGCTGGGACCCATCCGACGGCACTTTTTTCCAGCTCGCGGGATGTGTCCGCAACCTCGGGGCATTCCGTACCGAACCAAGTGGACAAGCCCAGACAAGACTAAGCAGATCAACTTGATCACCAACATCGCAATCCAACAACATGTGTTGATCGTGGATGGGCCGCATGTAAACACTAGACAGACCAGACCTGCCACCCAGACCAAGCAGATTAGCCAGACCAGCCAGTCAGACCAGCCAGGTAGACCAACCAGACCAGCCAGGCAGACCAACCAGACCATGCAGACGAGCTAACCGTTCAGATCAGCGAAGCCATGACCAGGCTCAGCAGGCCAACCTGGCTGGACCAAGCAGACAAGCCCAGGCCAGATTCCGCAGATCAATTTGACCTGGCCAAGTGGCTGGGTATCGCTCGGACGTGTGCACTTTTCCCGGCGGGGGTTATTAAGGAACATCCTGGATCATCCTGCGAAAAAAAACACGCGCGAAACGGAAACAAACACAGGGAATGGACGTCGGAGCGACGGGGAGGTGAACTAGCCAGACCAGCCAGTCAGACCAGCCAGGCCAGCCCGTCCAGCCAGCCAGACCAGCCAGCCAGCTCTCAAGGCGCCTCTGCAGCGCAGAAGAGATCGCAAGGCAGAACAATCTGCAATGCAACAACAAAACATCGGCAGCAACTGTGTTCGACTGGTCGCCGCCGACGTGCACGCTGCAACCCTCCCTGAACCTCCCCAGACCCCGCGCGGATCCCACGCGGAATCCTAAGCTGAAGCTCCAGCAGCGTCACTGCAGCGAGAAAAATGAAACACAGAAAGTGTCGCAGTGCAAAACAGCTGCAATGCAAGCATATCTGTTTTCGTGTCGTCGTCGCCGACATGTGCACATCAACCCTCCTTGAACCTCCCCCAATCACGGTTGAACCGCACGCGGAATCCAAAGTTGTTTCGCAGTGCCACTACAGCGCAAATAATCGAATTGCAATGCCGAACAAGCTACATTGCAAAGCCACATGCTTGTGTGTGGTTGTCGCCGACATGTGGGCTTCACCCCTTCCTGAACCTCTCCAAACCGCGCTTGGCTCCCACGCGGAATCCCAAGCTCAAGGTCTAGCAGCGCCACTACAGCGGGACAAACTGCAACGTGAAGCAACATGCGCTGCAGCAGCTCTTGCGTTGCCAAGCCGAGCCATTGAAATGCAGACAGCAACTGTGTTCGTGTGGTCGACGCCGTGCGCTTCAGCCCTCCCTCGACCTCCCCAAACCACGCTTGACTCCTACGGGGAACCCTGAACTCAAGCTCGAGCAGCGCCACTGCAGCGCCAAGAAGAACGCAACACTAAGACAACGGCAATGCAAACCAATCGCTTTCGTATGGTCGTCGCCGACATGTGCGCGTCAGCCCTCCCTGGACCTCCCTATTCACGCTTGGCTCCCGCGCGGAATCCGAAGCTCAGGTTCGAGCAGCGCAGGCGAAGCTCAAAACCAAGGTGAAAGCTTGCCCTTTCGAAGCTTGGCGTCCCGCCGTGCGCTACAACGACTGAGAACTATACTAAAGGGGCCCCAGGACACACAAACAAATACACACAAATAAAATGATTCCCCATATTTTCCCATATTTTCTGGGTTGCTGTCTTCCCCCCCACTTCCCATATTTTGCAATCTTTTCCTGGGAGTCGACGATTAATTGTGTCTGTGTGCTTCTTTCCCTCCTGATATACTGCCGACTCCAGCACGATGTCCGCCCCCCCTGAGTCGGCTCCCCTAACGTTGCCCCTCATTGGGGTGCGTACCGTTAGTGCTCCAAGCCCCCACGTGCCACAAGGGGGGTTTGTGAACCCTGCCTTTCCTCTGATAGTCGCTGGTGCTCGAGGGGGGTGGTGGAGGCGGAGGCGGAGGCGGAGTAGGAGGTCGTCCTGACAGCGGCGTGTCCCGCCGCCGTCGTTGCCGCCGTCGTCGATCCCAGGTGGCGTCGAACCGCCCAGCGGCGCAATGCCGTTCCCGGGCATGCCCCCCATGCTGCCCGGCATGCCGCCCATGAACATGTTCGGCAAGGGCGGGCCGCCGGTGAGCATGTTCGGCAAGGGCGGGATGCCGATGGGGATGATGCCGCAGCCCGTGATGGGCATGATGCCCCAGGCAGCAGGGGAGAGGAGGTGGGCGAAGGCAGGAGGAGGACGGGACGGATGGCGAAGGTCGGCTGCCGGAGGCCGCCGCTTCTCTGCCTCCCCGTCTGTCTCTTCCACCGGCACGCCCATTCCAGCACATGCGTGAGCCGGGGCGTGCTTCCTGGGAGGCTCGAGGATCAGGGGGATGAGAATGGGGAGACGGGGGGAAGGGAGAGGGGGGATGGGGGAGGAGGAGGAGGTGGAGGATGAGGAGGAGGAGGAGGAGGAGGAGGAGGAGGAGGAGGGGGAGGAGGAGGAGGAGGAGGAGGAGGAGGAGGAGGAGGAGGACGAGGACGAGGAGGAGGAGGAGGACCAGAGTAATCTCATGATGCGCCAGCGATGCTGCAAGCTCTTCCGACAGGAGCGTTCTGCGCACATTGCTCATACATTCGGCCATGAGCATCTCATACTGAGTGGCTGCTAGGGGTTGGCTTGATGCTGCGGCAATGATACCTGTCTGGACCCGTCCCAAACAAACCATGGGGCATGATAACCCTATAAGACTTGCCGTTCCAGATGCGAGTACGCGTCCGAGCATGCAAGAAGCGTCCCGTGCTTTTGCAATCTGCGCGCGAGGTCGCGCGTAGCTGACGGCGGAAAACCAACCTCCTTAACAATACATGCAAGAGATGGCTCATCGTGCTGCGATCGCAGTAGCAGTTCAGTTCTGTTATGTTTCGACAGAAGGCCTGCATCACATCAACAGACATCGCCGGGCACGGTGAGCGACCTGGAGGCCCACCGCCGCTTCGCCATTGCGACAGCTGCCCTCCGGAGCGCAGCCCTGTGCACAGTCAGCGCCGCGGCGTCATTTGGTGGCTGCACCCACGAGCTGCGCTGCATCGCCACGCCATGGTGGGCCGGCAGCGCACCCAACGGCGGCTGGGCATCTGCGGTCTCAGTGGCGGAGGTCTTGCCGCCGTTGGTCACTCTCTCCTCATCACCAGAGCTCACCTCGCGGCGTCTGGGCCGGGGCCGCGGCAGGCGACGGGACCTCTTCCTCGAGGGCGAGCGGGCCGCCGACCTCGACGGCTCTGGCTCGGCCCCTGGCCCAGCTGCGCGGCGCGGTGGTTGCTCCGCGGCAGCGTCCGCCAGCCTTGCCGCGGCCTGCGGGCCTTGAGGCCAGTGGGCGTGCTGCCGGAGAGGGGCGGCTCCTCCGCCGCCCTGTGGCGCCTGCTGCCCTGGCCGCCCGTCTCGGAGTGGCGCGCGCATGCCGTGCGCAGCTGCATGTCGGCGTCGATGCGGTGTCCGCCCGCCACGCGCCAGGGTGAAGCGGCAGCGGCAGCCAGGGTGAGAGGCCGCCGCCCGCCCGTGCTGGCCCCTTTGCCACCACCCGCAGGCCGGCCACCCCATTGCCTCCCTTCGCCGCTCCTTGGCCGCCTCCTGGCCGCTCGCGTCGCCGCAGCTGTGGTGTGCCAAGGGCAGACGGCGAGCAGCCGCGACGGCGAGCAGCCGCGAGGCGGACGAGGACGCGCGCAGCTGCGAGGAGGAAAAGGGGAGGAGGAAGGAGGAGGAGGAGGAGCAGGAGGAGGAGGAGGAGGAGGAGGAGGAGGAGGAGTAAGAGGAGAAGGAGGAGGAGGAGGAGGAGGAGGAGGAGGAGGAGGAGGAGGAGGAGGAGGAGGAGGAGAGGGGGGGGGCCGCGGGCCCACGGCGCGGTGCTCGCAGGCCATGATGGGCATGGGCATGATGCGGCCGAGGATGGTGCCGGGCAGCATGGTCCGCCCCATGGGCGCGGGCCTGGCGGCCGGGTGCGTCGAACGCTGCAGAGGAGGAGGAGGAGGAGGAGGAGGAGGAGGGGAGGGGGGGTCCTGGAGCGGCGAACGTATCCTCATCCGCGCCCTCGCGGTCTGAATTCCGGGGCGCGATCCCGCGGACACGCGGTCGCACGGATTCGTTCGGCGTGGGGCATGCGCTCAGAAACGCCCCGTATCCGCGGGGTAGCGGCCCAGGGGCACGGCCTGCGAGGCCGCGGAAATGGATATGTGTTTCGCCCACGAGTGAGAGTGGAAGGGCGAGACCTGGCCACCGCTGGGGAACGGGCGCGTGCCGGGTACATCAGCACCACAGCCCGAGTCATTTTTCAGGCGACGCCGCGTCTGCCCTTTGCGAGGGTCTCGGCCGCCGTGGGCCAATATGGGTGCGCCAGAGTGAGTTAGTGAGGAGAGGCGAGGGACGAGGGAGAGGCGGGGAGGACGGACTCGAAGGGGAGAGTGGAGTAGGAGGGGACGGGATGAGGAGGGGGCCAGGAGGTGGAGGACGGCGATTGATATTTTTGAAGCTTTCAATTCTTTGTTGTGTTTCTGGCCAGAGGCGTCCTGGGAACGCCGATCGGGAGTTCGGAAGGCCTGAGGAGGTCTTTGTGCATCGTCCGCCTGATGGGCGGGATCCCAGACCTCTGTTGGACGAATGTGCTCCACGGCATTCGGCTTGATTCTTCCCTCTCTCAGGTCACCCGCAGGGCCGCCAAGACAGCCTGACTTCGTGTTCCGTGGTTTGGGTTCGAGAGTCGCTCTTCCCTTTGGGGCAGCGCGATGGCACGAAAGCATCACAGCGCTTCGTGTTTGGCGCCGTGCAGGGCGCGAAGTTAGGTGACCCACAGTCGGCGCTCGGGTAAGCAATCGTCCTGACATGAGCTGACCCATGCATAGCAGCATGTTCCTCCAAGGCCACGAGGGCCCACTGAAAACCTGGTGCATCTCAGGTGCGGTGCGCCTCTGGTTTTCCGATAGCAAGACTCATTACCGCATGTATCGGCTGCAGGTTTAAGTTGCTCCTCCTGGCTGATTGAACAACTTAGTTTTCGTCCCAGGTGTCTGGCTTAATCAGCTGATTATGGCTAGTAGCTCCTTCGTCTTGATGAGCACCTTCTCATCAACCCGCCTGAGTAGCTCCTTCAGCAAATTATGTTGCTCCACACATGTGCGTGAGTAAAGGTTTACCCCCAATCTTGGCATGGCGGTGATCGCGAATATGATGGAATCGAATGCTGAAGCACGCAGACGAAAACGACGATCCTGTGCGGGCGTCGCGATTCAACCAGTGTGCCAACTGACACGTTCGAGGAAGTCCCGCGCGAAACGTTCATGCTCTTGCTGTTGCGAACCAGGTGCGCACCGTGTTTGGGGGGGTGTCTCTCGCAATTCGCTAGTTTCGAAACGGTTTCAGACTGGAGTTGAAATCGCGTGTTGGAGGAAGTCCCGCACAAGACGCTTACTTCCCCGATGATTCGAAATGGTTTGTATGATTTCGATTCTGGTTTCGAATCTGGTTCGAACCTATTCTGCGAGGAAGTGCCACGCGGTTTGCAGGTTTCGAACCACCATCCTGGTTAGTCTTATACGACAATTCTTTGAATGTGCAGATCTGGGTTTGCCCGCCACCCCGCTTGCACAGCTTCGCCCAGGTCACCCTGTACCAGAATCCGCGCTCCTGACGGGGCGACCCGCGGTTGCGTGTCGCGCGCCCGCATGTCCGATCCACATTGCGGCAGCCTGTGCACACTTGGGGAAACGCCGCTACTCCCTGGACCTCTCCCGGGGTGTGTTCTAAACCAGGACTTCGAGGCGAATCCAGCGGTGGCGACGAGGCCCTCCCAGGAGGCCCAAAAAGGGGCAAACGGGCGAATGCTGGAGGTATGGTATGGGTACTCATTTCTCCTCCGAGCTCTGCCCACGGTGACTCCCCAGGCGTTGCCACCTGACTGGGTCTCCTTCGAGGTCTGTTCTTGGGAGCCCGGGGCGGCGACACTGAAACCAGCGCTTCCTGCATTCATCTGGGCCTCCTAGATGGGGTCGGAGTAGATGGGGTCGGAGGATCGCGCCGCATCGCCGATGCATCGCCGATACGGCTCGATGTGGGGCCCGATTTGCTTCACGCCGACGTCGCCGATGCATCGCCGACGTCGACGATGCATCGCCGGTGCATCACCGATTCATCGCCGATGCATCGCCGATGTATCGGCGATGCGGCGCGATCCTCCGACCCCATCTTCTCCGACCCTATCTAAGAGGCCTTTGATTTCGAGATCGCAGTTGCCCCCGGCCCCCGTGACGCTCCTCGCCCTTTGCGTTTCCTCCTCCCCCGTCCTCTCGAGTAGGGGATCGACTACAGCACTGAGTTATCCCAGAGTTGATTTTTTGTTCGTCGACTCCATTCTGTGGTCAACCCCCCACTCGATCCTTGTTCCTCTCGCCTCTCCCTTATATGAAGAAGGGGCGAAAATCCGGTTCAAATCTGGTCCTGCTCGAGTCCCAGGTGTGCTCCAAGTGCGGTCCAGATCGGGCCCAGACCGGGCAGCGCCGCGGGCCGCGCAGGCTCCCATGGAACAGACACCAGAGTCTCCCCCGGCTTCCGACTCACCACCACACAGTCAAGTCCAGATTGGGGACGTATATTCAAGTCGGGCGTGTCCCTCTACAGGAAGAATATTCCAAAATTGTTTTGTTTTTTTTAAGTATGGGGACGATGTTTGACTAGTTTTGACTATTTTGCTACATTTATTAAGTATGTTTGATTTTTCGCCCAAAATCCGCCTGTAGGGCTGTAGGGGGACATGCCCGACCTAAACGTTTATCCCATAGCCGCCATAGCGTCGGATGTGGGCCTGGCTGGGCATGCCCCGCCCTCAGCGGAGCGGAAAGCCCTTCATGTCCCAAAGTTGGTGGATATAGGCAGCCCCAGCAAGATGATAGTTTCGCATCGTAGCCACAGCGACACCCAGGAGTCACCACCCATCTAGGTTTAAGTCGGGCCTGTCCCTCTACAGGAGGAATATTCGAAAATAGTAATAAATAGTCAGGGGACGATGTCTTTACTATGTTTGAGCATTTGCCGTATTTTTTTGAGTATGGTTGCTTTTTCGCCTAAAATCCGCCTGTAGGGGGACATGCCCGACCTAAACGTCAATTCCATAGCCGCCATGGCGTCGGATGTGGGCCTGGGCGTGTCCCGCCGTCAGCGGGCGGAGTGGGAAGCTCTTCGCGTCCAAAGTTGGTGGATATCGGCAGCCCCAGCGCGATGAGAGTTTCACATCGTGGCCACGACGACGCCCAGGGAGTCACCACCCACCCAGGTCCCCCCTCCTTCTTTTTACCCAGACCCCAGACCTCCTATGCATTGTTGCTGTTCCGATCCGCGGGCCCCACAGGGGCTCGGCCCCTTCCCCAGGATCGCTTTTGAGGAGGGGGAGGAGGAGGAGGAGGAGGAGGAGGAGGAGGAGGAGGAGGAGGAGGAGGAGAAGGAGGAGGAGACGGAGGAGGAGCAGGAGGAGGAGGAGGAGGAGGAGATCCCTGGTCGTTCTCGACGGTCGCAGATCGAAGAGCTCGGAACTGGCCTCCAGAGGCCGAGCACGGAGCAAAGCATCTGCATGTCGACTTCGCGTCAGGACCTCTAGAGGTGTCGGTGCCATCCTCGTCCGCCGCCGCTCTGCTTCCCCCGGCTTCCCCTGACGGTGCCTCGGCTTCTCGATCCGTCGGGTCTCCAGCACGGACCCTTGGCTGTAAACTTCCCCATCCGTCTTTCGCGCGGCGAGCCGCCAGGGACCAGCAAAATTCCCACCGAGGCAACGTTTGGGGGACGCATCGACCCCCAATCGCGCACTCATCGCCGACAGGTGCCCGATGGCCCGCCCCGCCCAGGAACGTGCGGCTTCGCCCTCGGGGGCCCGTCGCCTGCTCGATGTTTGCCCTGCTGAACCGGTTTCCCCCCTTGCACCCCCCTTTTAAGCACGACCAGAGACCACACAGAGTGTGATTCGGACGGTGCTGGGACGAGGATTCATCCGTTCCAGAGCCTTCCCAGAGCGCTCGCAGAGCGTTCCGGAGCGCTCTGAGGAGGCCGCGGCGCCCGAGACATCCTCCAGGGCCGCTGGAAGCCAGAGATTCCGGATTCATCCTCACCCGAATTTCTCTTCGTTTTGGCTTCGTCTCAGTGGCAGATCCCTCCCTGCTGACGTCCTGGCGCCACCCCACCGGCAGGTGGCGGGGGGCGCGCTGCCTGGGGCGGCCCCGCGGCCGCCGAGGCCGCACCTTCCGCCGCTCTCCCCCTCCGCGCTGGCCGCGGCGCCGCCGACGGTGCGCTCCGGCGCGGAAGCAGATCGAGATAACCGCATGGTTAGGGCTGACCCAAAAGGGGGTCCATCGACAAGGGGGTGGTGCAACAGATTTGGTGCAACATATTGGTGGGGTTGCATTACATTTGGGGCGTGCAATACCTTCAGGGGCGCAGATGTGTTGCTGGATTTTCGTGCGCAATGCCGCAATGCATTACGTGCAATACAATGCAATACAATTCTCCGGAGCAATATATTTGCAATAGAATTGCCCCAAATCTAATGCACCACCCCCTTTCAGATGGACCCCCTTTGGGTCACCCAAAATTGCCCCGATGAGAAAGTACAGTGGGAAACCATGCCAAGAAGCACCGTGCTTGCTTGCAGGGTGTCCTGGGCTTCTTCGGCTGCCACGCGTTTGAGATTGACTTCCCCACAAAAATCGATGGAAGTCCTGGGGTCTCAGGGTTGGGTTTCTTGCGGAAGGCTTCTTGTGGTTGAGCTCCTACTGTACAGTCGGCCCTAGTTAGTAGGCCGACCCTGCCAAACCAAGGGTGCCCTTGCGTCCCGTGTCTCGCGACCCATGCCTCCTGCATTCCGTTGGCAATGTGGCCCTCGGAAGGGTCTTGTGTCCTCTCGCGTGTCCTGTCTAATCAAGTCCGACTGTATCCACCCCTCCCCCGTCAGTCCCCGGTGTTGATTAGCTCCGGCCATGACAGTTTTGGTCGGCGGCACGGGCTGGCGATGTCGAGCTTGATTATCCACTGGGCCAAGTACTTATCGCAGCTGTAGTCTTATTACCATGAGTCGCAGCATTGCCATCATCATCATTTGTATGATTGTTCGTGCTACTCCTATTTCTGATGTTACAGTCGCACACTCCGTACATCCGTACACCATACATCCGTACACCGTACATCCGTGCACCGTACATCCGTACATGTGACTTGGCGAGAACAATGTTCACTATCCCGCCTGGAGTCGAATCTTGTTATTTCGAGGTGTGATTATCGGGGGCGCTCGGTTACTTACTGTTGGGGGGCGTTTGCTGAGGAATGTGCCCAGGCGGCTTCAGTCCCTGAGGATTCCTTATCTGATGAGGGCGGCGGCGATATCCATGGCCAACTCATCGAATGCCCTTACCGTAGCGTGAGGTCGGGGCGCTGCAGCCAGAAGTCGTGACGACCAGGTGTTTGTCGATTGGGGCCTCCGCGGAGGCCGTGTCCTGGCCACGGGGCCGTCAAGAAGTGATTCGGGACGGATAGCCGGCCCCAGGGAGCGGTCCACGGGGGGCGACGTCACGTGCAGACTGCGACGACGTTCGAGGGTCTGGCTGCGGCTGGGTTCCCGACGCACCCCGGAACACGCCCCGAGGACTCCTGTCGGGACGCGCCTGGGCATGCATCCCAAGGACGACGACGACGCCCACGAGCAGGCCCCCTCTGGGCCACCAGACGACGGCGCCCACGACGGCAACCTCGGGAAACTTCTGGAGACGCCTTGAAGGCCTAGAAGCCCCAGAAGGCCTAGAAGTCCATGGAGGAAGCCCCGGCAGGCATAGAAAGCCTCGAATGCCTAGACGGGGCCCCTCGAAGGCCCGACAGATGCTGCGTCCTCTGGCGCCCAAAGGCGGCCTCGCCCGGGGCCCAGCCCCGATAAGCATCGGACTGCCCCCCAGCTGCTTGCCCGAGGCGCCCGAAGTTGCCTGCCAGGGCTCTTCCCTGCGGCGCCCGAAGCTACGTGGCGGGCCGCTTCCCAGGGCAGCCCGAAGGTACCTGCCAGGACGCTCCCCTGAGGCGCCCGAAGGTACCTGGCAGGACTCTTCCCTGCAGCGCCCGAAGCTATCTGTCTGCCAGAGCGTTTCCCTGGTCGCGCGGCCCCAGATAGCATCGGATGGCATCGACTGGGTTCGAAATGAGGTGGAAGGCCCGTCCGGGACACGTGTTCTGCATGAGGTGCAGAAGCAGATGCTCGGCGAGAGGCTCTACATGCTGATCTCGTGCGTCCAGCCCGAGCTGGCCGGGAAGATCACAGGCATGATGCTGGAGATGGACACCAGCGAGCTGCTGCTCCTCCTCGATTCGGAGCAGCAGCTCAAGACAAAGGTCGACGAGGCCCTGCTCGTCCTCAACAGGAGCAAGTGACAACGGGCTGGCTCGCCATTCCGTGTATGTGTTTTACGCGGGGAATTTAACTTGGCCGCCTCGCGCCCCGGTGTCTTTGTCCGCTCGTGGATCCGTCTGGCGGCCACTCCCCCGCATCCCTTTCCTCCTTGCTCTTCCCTCCCTCTCCTCGCTCCTTCCTCGCTCCTCTTCCCTCCCTCCACGTTCCTCCCTCCTTCCTCGCTCCTCCCTCCTTCCTCGCTCCTCTCGCCCTCTCTGGTCCTCCCTCCATGTTCCTCTCGTGGATGAACTCATTTTTGAGCACGCTCGGCCTTCGTGTTCCCCTGGATCTGTCTCTTCCTCCTCCTCCTCCTCCTCATCATCATCCTCATCCTCATCTTCCTCCTCTGACGCCTCCTACTCCTCCTCCTCCTCCTCCTCCTCCTCCTCCTCCTCCTCATCCGTGTTAGTTCTACGTAGCCATGTTGGCTCAAGGCTCAACGTCCTGGAACCAGCGATCAGATTCGAACTCCGCCGCAGGGGGGCTCGAGGCTTCTACGGCGTCCTCTGCGTGCCCACACACGTGTGAACCGCCCCCCTCCCCAGGTCCCCCGCGCTGCCATCGTGGGCCGTGGTGGCAGCTACGGGGGGACGCTCGGACTTCTGCGCAGGACCCCAAATGTCTGATTCTGATGGCCCAGGTGATCGGAGTCGCAGCCCTCCTGCACCATCAGTTTCCGCAGGTGTTGCACGGAGGCGGCTGCAAGACTATGATCGTCGACCCGAACCTCGCAGCGGACGCGCCCCTCGTGAAGAGCGACACCGCGACCGGAATCGAGAGGAAGCTCGCGAGCCACGCTCCTGCCCAGCAGACTCCTGGCCCGCGGCGTTAGGATCGTCACCATGCTCTACCAGATGCTGGACCTCCTCCTGATGCTTGTTCTTCTCTGGGCGAGCGTAACATGAACAACGCCCAAACAACTCGGTCGTCCTCGCCGACGTTGGCGTGTAAGCTGTCCGCGTAAGGTCGCGCGTGAGCGCCCTCAGCTCCACTGTGGCGTGCCGCGCCAGCGGCCCGCGTAAGCCGCCGCGTAAGGTCGCTGTGCCATCTCGCGGAAGATCCGTTCTGGGTCGTCGCTCACACGTTCGTGGCGGAGGAGGGTTACCAGCCCACGCCCGCCACTTGCACGGCTACTCCCGCCATCGCGCGCGATCCTGTCCAGGAGCATGATCCATGGCGTGGCATCTCCGTGATGCAGTGTGTGGAACGACGGGTGCTCGAAGCCTTGCAGGTCGACGCAGCTGCCATCCATAAAGCAGTCAGCAGTGCAGCAGCAGCAGCGGCATCGTCGCAGCTCGAGTCCATCGCCAGTCGGCTTCAGGCTTCATTACTGGGCGAGAAGGTGCGAACGCACAGGCGACTTGATACCAGCTCACTTGAACTGCAAGAACTACGTCCGCGACAAGACAGTGCTGCGGCAGCTCAAGCAACCAGACGCAGCAATTAAGGTGAACCAGATTCGTGCCCAGTTGGCCACAGCCGAGGCTCAATTGCCCTGCGACGTGGAGGCTTTGGCGAACCGGGCGGGATAGGGTCGTGGACCCGCTCATATTCTCGGTTGGCATCGTCGCGCCTGCTTCTCCGAATGCTGTTCGCGATGGTCTACTTACCTGGATTGCTGACGCCAGGCTCCAGCCCCAGCACATCGAGCTTATCGGTGACGTCGTGGCAAGGCGTTTCACCATCAGAGTGCTCGGCAATAGGCTCGAAGCCAACACCGGAGCCTCCGCGCTAGTGCGGTGCGTGCGAACTTCTAGTGGATGGCGTTCGTGTCCGGTGCTCCCCACAACGCAGTGGTCCCAATGTACGTTTCAACGGACGAGAACCCCAAGATGGTACGTGGTGAGGTGCAAACTAAGAGGATGTGCAAGGTGTCGGATGAAAAACATCCCGATTGAATTTGGCGGTGTCGGCGGGCTCAGTACCACATTCTCGCACATAGTGTCCCATGCTGCAGCTCGAGCCTCAAGGTCAAGATGAGCTCTCTCGTATCCGTTGGAATGTGGGTGTCATGCCGAGTTCAACATCGACCGCGTCGCGATCGAAACAGTTGTCTGGGTGGCCGTCTCGGGCATCAATGCACAGTGGTCTGAGTAACACATGCTGGGCCCGCTGGGAACCTTATAGACGTGATTCCGCCCATGGTCTTCGAGTGATAAGTTGGAGTGCCAGAAGT